CCCTACAGTACCTGCACTACTTTATTTCCTATGATTGGCCTGCTTGTAAAGGGTGCTGCTCAGGCATTTGTTTATGGAGGTTTGCAGTTTATTGCTCGAGTTTAGTGGGCTCCACGCCTTACAATGAAAGGGATTTGACACCGGAGTTAACTATTCGTGTTTTGGCCTTTGTTGATATCTGTCTGGAGTGTCATATTTGTCGTAGCATTTGAAGAGCTCGTTCTGGCCTGTTCTGTTGTGATACGTTCTGATACGTGAAGGCGTCTGATTCCTCTGGGTGTTCCTCTTCTAGGCCTGGATTAACACTCGCGACTTTGTTCTGGATTCGTCCATGTGCAGTCCTGTAGCAGCTCCATCGGTCGACAGTGTTTCAGTTTTGGGGCCGTGTCTGTGTCTTTGTGTGAGATGTGTCCTTGGCAAAGTCCTGGCCTGTAACTGGGACAGGGGTGTTTGAGCCAGCCGGGGTTTTCCTCATGATCCAATCCGCTGCCAGGAGGAGGAGGTGCGCGGACAGCGGGCAGCCCTGTCCGACTCCTGTTTTCACTGGAAGCTGTCGGTGAGGAGTCCCCCGTCCACTGCTCTGCAGGATGACTTCTCAATGATGATTATGAACGTTTCCGGGATTCTATCACAGACCTTGAGTTTCCACAGAGTTTTTGTGCTCGAGGAAGTCCCCGGATATGAGATGCAAGGCTGCATTGCACTCTGTGGCGTGTTGGACGATGATGAAACCCGCTTGCCGGTCTCTCGGTTCTTCGTCCCGAGCTTTTAACAGCCTCTCTAGGCTGATCCCGCTCGAGACAAAACCACGATTGCCCTGTAGCTTCAGGGAGTTTTACCCACTGGCCTACTGCCCGCTCTCTGGGGGCTTCCTGCTGCTTCGCACCTGCCCCAGGTGCTGGCGGAGACGGTGTGTGACAGGGCGGTGGGGGAGGCCAGCAGGGACCAAACATAATCCAAAAGAGGAGAGGGAAAAAAAAATCAACAAAAAGCAATAAGTGTACCGCTGTGCCCCTACTGAGCGGGGTCCAGCCTGGTGAGCAGGGCGCGTAAGGCGAGAACAAAACAAGTGTGAAAACGGTGTGTGTGTGCCTGCCCTGGTGAAAATGGGTCCAGGCAAAAAGAAAAAGAACGCCTTATGGGGGTTCAACCCCCTCTGGGACTGGCGGTGTCAATTCTCCCTCCTGGGGGTGTCCCTGCTCGTCCTGTCGCGGGGTGTCCAGTGTGCCTTCATAGGACCCACCCACACAGCTGGGACTACTACACTGGACACGCCCCCCGGTGCCACACAGGTCTACTGCTTTGCTGGGCTCTGGGGGAACTCCATCAGGTCCAGGAGTGTTGCTCTTCTTCACTTTGACTCTTTGGCGGCTTGGATGTGGGCTTTCGTTGCTCTGGTGCGACCAGAGAGTTGCTGGGGCTCTGTTTAGCTTGCTTTCTTGAGTAATTCACCCGAGATCCAGTCCTCGTGCTGGCCTGTTCTCCTGCCGCAGGGGTCTTCACACGCCTCCTTCCAACCTTTCTTCATTCTTCGCCCTCTCTGCTGCCGGGTTTGATCTTCCTCATCCTCAGGGCTGACGAGAGGCTGGGGTCTGTGTGGGAGGGTGCTTTGGAAATACTCTCTTAGGGTTTTGTCCTGGAGAAGGCCAATTTGAAACCATCAGCTGATTTTCCTATCGCCCATCACAACTTTCTTCAGCCTGAGACTGAGTTTTGAAACCAGGAGCTGGCGGTCTGGAGCTTCGTCTGCTGCCCTTTTCAACCTGACATCTACTCGGGATCTCCTGAACTGTTCACTGACGCAGATGAGCTCTGTCTGGGTTTCTGGGAAGACAGAACCTCTTATAACAAGGCTGTTAAATTTCACAAATAACACAGAGTCACTCCCTGTTTTCGTTCCCAGTCACTGTTATCCTCTCTGATCCTGGCACTGAAATCACCTGTGAGGAGGGTGATGTCTTTCTGTCTCTGTTTGGTGATTCCTTCCTGTAGGACTTCAGAGATGTCATCTTTTGTTTCTTTTCTATTGGGGAATAGCACTGGGTGACTGAGATATTTTGGGGTTCAGTGAAATATCCTGCAATGATGATCGGGGAGTTCTGGATTCCATTAGGGACTTGTCTGCTTCTTTCAAAAACATTATGTCAGTTCCCTCTGTGTGAACGTTTGCGACCTGAATCTCTCTCCACTTGACAGACATCTGTCCCCTGCTTGAGTCTGTGTCACTGAGCCCTATAAGCGTAAGATGGTATCTCTTCATTGGGATTTTGTGAATCTTTACCTGCTTCATACATGCTGTGGATGTTCAAAGTGCTAACTTTTGTATCGTGCTCAGTTATTAAAAGGCAGGTCATTAATCCCCTGGTTATGGAGCAATAACTCTCTTCACAGAACTGGGCTTCCTAATCCAACTGAAAAAACTCAGTAGCCCTGAAAAGACACTAGACTTTCATTCAGTCTCGGGGTGCCACACTGGCCACAGAATCCTACGTCCAAGTCTGCCCAGTCAGTAGAGTCAGTAGAGTAACAGCATGTCTGTCCACAGCTGTCAGACCTGGTGCGGTCTGGTAGACCGAGGGGACGTTACTAGGGCAACAGCTCTGCGCTACTCGCCATGGTGATCAC